AACCATCTGCCCCCGGGTGCCGGCTCCTCTGGCCATAACTCAGTGCTCTGTTTCTGCTCCGGGAGCAGGCTGGTTTGGTCAACCAGGTCCAATGTGACAGATAATTTTTCAAATTCAGCCACAAGGACCATCCTGAGGAGTCATAAAACAATTCAAGGGTAGAAGTGCTCTGGATCTGAGGCCTCATTACATAAACCTTCAGTGGAATGTATGATTAAAGGTTGGTTAATTGTAACCAACTGAATGAACCATTAAAAATTACTAACCTGGATATTCATGAAGTTAAATTAATTTACAGAGGATTCTGAACCAAGAGTCCAGCAAAAAGTCTGGGCAGCCTTGCATCCCTGGGCAGGGCTGCAGATCAGCTGTGCATCTTTTTGCAGAATGAAATTTTAAACTCCCATTGTTTACCAGAGGAATGGTTTTACATTTACTGGCTTGTTCTACCTGGTCAGGCAAGATTGTTTTGAACATGGTGTGACACACATAAACCTTATTTAACTAGGTGAGGTTAAGCCCAGAACTAGCACTTTATGTAGTTTGTTTATGAAATGAATGTATCTTCAAATTGCGGGCTCATTTTTTAGAGGAGTTTTAATTAGTTTTCACTATCTTCATAGCACGTTCTCTAAACAATGCACACTGAACAACTGTGGCTCAAATGAACAATTATGTTCAGGTAGGAATTAATGTGCAATTCTTAATACCCTATGACTTGGGTATCATTTACCATAAGATTCGGTCAAATATAACTTGAGGGAGCTTACACAGAATACAAATTAGAAAGTATTGACATTTACTCCATTTCATTCATTTTATCTACCCCTACTCATGTTTTCCACTTTGTCATCACACATAATTGAGAAAATCTGGACAAGAAGGATATTCTATTGCATGTGGCCATATGTTCACTCTCGTCATTGTGCTTTCTTCCTTCCTGATAGCCCAAGATTTCTTTTCTGTCATTTCCTTTTTATTCAGAGGCTGCTTTCAGACATTCGTTTAGGGAAGGTGTGCTGGGGACAAACCCTCTCTGTATTCCTTCATTTGATTTCTTCTTCATCTTTGAAAGATCTCTTCTCTGGATACAGAATCCCAGGGTTGACTTTTTTTTTTTTAATGCAGGAGAAATATACTACTACTCAACTACTACTGTAAGGCTGGCAGCCCTGAGAACTCCTTTTTTAATGTAGCATGTATTCCTGCTTCCAAAGGAATGAGGAGCAGACACGTCCACGTGCAAGACAATTCTTTTCTTTAGCGTTTGAGGTCTCCTGTTTCTGGCTGGCTCCATGATTTCCTATGAGAAATTTTTGGCACTTAAACTGTTTCCCCCTAAAGGTATATGTACCTTCCTTCTCTGCTTTCAGGATTCTTTCTTTGGTTTTAGTTTGCTTATGACACACTGTGACCTGGGTCTCCTTGGATTTATCCTGTTTGGGATGCAGGCTCCTGTCTTTTTGCTGCATTTGGGAAAATTTCAGCCATTATTTCTTGGAATAAGTTTTCAGGCTCCTCCTCTTCTCCTGGAATTCTGATGACAGGCACATGGGACCCAGCGGAGTGGCTCAGGCTCAGCTCCATTCTGCAGCCTGGCTCTGCCGTTCACACGGGATGCAGGCTCCATCCCCACGGCCACACATCGCTGATGCCTTCTGCGTCCTCCCGCACGGCTACAGGGTCTGTGTGCTGAGGCTCTGAATTTCAGTCACTGTATTTTTCAGTTCTATATCTTCCATCTGGTGCTTCCTTATATTTTTATTTCTCTGTGAAGACTGCATCTTTTCATTTGAAGCACACTCAAGATTGGGAGCTGAAGTGCTTTTATCATGACGATCCACGTCAATAATTCTAGCATCTCTGCCACCCCAGTGTTGGTGCTTGTTAACTGTCTTTTCTGCTTCAGTGGAGATTTTTCAATGAGTGAGTTCTGAATGACACTTGGGACATTCAGTTATTCTGCTGGGACACAGAGACCCTGGATCTCCCGTGGGAAGGTGTTCAGGGTCTCATTCTGGGCCGTGGCGGGCAGGTCTGGGCTCCTCCCTCAGCCTCTATTCCTGCCTGGGGAGAGAGCCGGCTCTTTATGGCTAAATGGGTGGGATCCAGGCTCCCACCATGCTCTTCTGATTCCACGCTGGCTGAGGGGGCGAGGGTGCCTTATCATTGCCCCACATGGCTTCCATTGACATCACGGGTGGTGCAGGGTGGAAGCCATGAGTCCTCACCAGGCTTCCCAGCAGGAGAGGGCAGGATGCCTATCACCACTGTGGGGAGGGGGAATGGAAGGCCAGGTTTCCACGTGGTTTCCAGGGCGTGTCCACTTTCACTGCTGCTGAGAGGGGAGCAAAGCCCCATCTCCCGAGCTGGTCTCTGACATCACCACGGCAGGGGAGGTGTGTGTGCTCTGCTCAGTCGATGCCAAAGCCTGGGATCCCCACTGGTGGGCATGGGCCACAGGGCTGCAGTCTTCCTGTGGCTGGACTAGAGCAGTTGGTGTGCACAGCCTTCTTCTTACCAAGCGGTGAGGTTCTGATCCCCAGGGGACTCACTACTAACTGGATTGATCCTTGGGTCCTAGGAAATCTGCCTGTCTTCTCTCCACCTTCCAGAGTCTTCTTGGGTTTGTTTACATGTAATATCCAGACGTTCTGGCTGTACTTAGCATGAGAAACAGGGGAAAATATGCATTTCATTTCCCTAGAAGCAGAGGTCTCTATAGTTTTTTTTTAAAAGTTAATAAGGGACTAGGTGATTATCTTATTTTACTGCTTCCCAGATGCCTTATACATGGGCCAGCCCAGAAAACTCCTTAATCTCTATTCATATTTTACATAAGAAAAGTTTAAGAAAATAAAAAAAGCAAAGTGTCACTCAGAAGAAGCTTCCAGGTTGCTCTGATTTCAAAAGTATATTTACAAAAAGCAGGAGAAATATCACCTAACCCAGATTGAATACAGGAGTTTAGACAATGTAAGGTCCAAAGGTCAGGAAGATAAAAACTGAAGAAGAACTGAAGTTCTCAAATCGAGTCTAGGAGGATGCGGTCAAGCTGGGCTGCATGGGCCCTGGTCTGCTATGTGGCATAGTCTGGATTCAAATCCCACAGGCAACCAGGAACATGAAAATTAGTTGTGATCTTCTCTTCCAGAAAGTATGAAGTTCAAGAACCAAAAGAAACTAAAAACTCAGAGAGATCATGGTACAAAAACACTTGGGTTTCCTGGCTTGTACAAAATTATTTTCAGAAAATACAAAAAGTCTTTGAAAATAAATCACTGACCTGACCACTACTCATGATCTTTGAGGGACAGTGGAGATTAGGAGAGGTGGACAAAGTCATTCAGTTTGCATATTGTTCCTTTTGAAACTACAGGTCAGAGATGTTTAACTTCCTTCTGGAGAATGTGTTCTAGAATAGATTATATAAAGGTACTGTGTGTGTGTATCTGCACTAAAGAATAAAAATTAAAAAAAACAAACACTGATCATGAGCACTCAGGATGGGTTCAGTAAATGAAAAGTCATATAAACTGGCCTCATATCCATTTTTTACCTTACTCCTAGGAGGCATGATCTCATATGACATTTATTTTTGAAGACATGGATGGCAGAAAGTGAAGAGGAACTAAAGCACCTCTTGATGAAGGTGAAAGAGGAGAGTAAAAAAGCTGGCTGAAAACTCAACATTCAAAAAACTAAGATCATGGCATCTGGTCCTATCACTTTATGGCAAATAGATGGGAAAAAAACAGTAACAGTGACAGACTATTTTCTTGGGTTTCAAAATCACTGTGGATGCTGACTGCAGCCATGAAATTAAAAGATGCTTGTTTCTCGGAAGACAAGCTGTGACAAAATCTAGACAGCATGTTAAAAAGCAGAGACATCACTTTGCCAACAAACGTCCAGATACTCAAAGCTATGGTTTTTCCAGTAGTCATGTACGGATGTGAGTTGGACCATAAAGAAGGCTGAGCACCGAAAAATTGATGCTTTTGAACTGTGGTGCTGGAGAAGACTCTTGAGAGTCCTCCGATTAACAAGGAAATCAAACCAGTCAATCCTAAAGGAAATCAACCCTGAATATTCACTGGAAGGACTGATGCTGATGCTCCAATATTTTGGCCACCTAATGCAAAGAGCCAACTCCGTGGAAAAGAGCCTGATGCTGGGAAAGACTGAAGGCAGGAGAAGGGGATGACAGAGGATGAGATGATTAGATGGTATCACCAGCTCAAAGGACATGAGCTTGGGCAAACTCTGGGAGACCGTGAAGGACAGGGAAGCCTGGCATGCTGCAAGTCCATGGGGTTGCATAATGTGATATGACTTAGTGACTGAACAACAACAACAAAATACAAAAATATAATTTGTTGGCTTCTAAGCAGATTCTCCATTTGAGGTCATGATATGAAATTAAAGACAGGTTTAACTATGTCAACAGTGTACGAAAAGCTTGATTCTGCTTATAAAAAACTAACAAAATTCAATACTAAATACAAGTATGGTTGAAATAACTGTTATTCTACTTCAGAAACTACTTTTTGTTAAGTAGAATGGGCCGGTCCATGGCCTTTTATGAACCAGGCTGCACAGTAGGAGGTAAGCAGCAGGCAAAGGAGTGAAGCTTCATCTGTACACAGCCACTCCTCATCACTTGTATTACTGCCTGAGCTCCACCTCCTGTCAGATCAGCAGAGGCATTAGATTCTCAAAGAAGTGTGAACCCTACTGCGAATTGTGCATGTGAGGATCTAGGTTGTGCACTCCTTATGAGACTCCTCCAGAAACACCTGCCCCCCAACACACACCGGTCCATGGAAAAATGTCTTCCATGAAACTGGTCCCTGGTGCCAAAAAGGTTGGGAACCACTGGATTAACAAGACAAATGAACTCTAGTTCATTTCAAACTTATCATCTAGTTTATCATTTCAGTTAATACATTTTAAAAATAACCCAGAGAATAGAATATTATGAGAAAAACTGAACTCACCATCGTCCTCCCAGCAGCTCTTTGCACTCCCTTCTCTCGCGCTACTCCCGGGCAACACTGTCTGGTCTGAGGGCAGGTCATCGTCTGGCACGCCGCCTTCACAGTCGGCTGCATCTGTGATGCTTTCTTCTTCCACAATATGGAGTTTGTCTTCATCATCTGAATCTGAGTTTGTTTCTACCACAGTATTATAATTTGTAACTGTAATACAAACAAGAAACAATCAATCAAAACCAACTAGTATAAAAATAAGTTTTTACACCTTAGTAAAAAGAAATTTTAAGAAGTGCTTAAAATAGATTGTCACTCAATAATAGTTTTAGACTGTAAAATGTAAACAATTAATGTATTTGATAACATGCATACATACAGCACTTATGAGATACACAAAAAAGGCAAATAATAGTAGCCATGCTTAGTGAACACTTAATTGTATGTACAGGTGTTTTATAAAGAATAACTAATTTGATTCTTACAGCAACATTTTAGCAACCCTATGAACAGAGGATCTATCTACTGCCTACTGCTTATAGCCCTATTTTACAGAAGTGGGAACCAAGACACAGGGAAGGTTAGTTGTCCATCTAGAAAGTGGCAGGGCAGGGATTTGAACCCCAGGAGTCTGGCTCCATATTCTGTGTTCTTAAACACTCCATCAAACATCTTTGCCAGTTATAGAAAGCTTATGTTACATGATACTGCTTAGGTGGAATGAGGGCTTCAAATCTTTCGAGTACTACAAATTAAGAGAAGAGTTCATCTTCCCTAATAAAACAGCAATGCAACATCAAGTTCAACAGTATTCTCAAGTTGTCAATTAGGTCCAGGCATTTTCAATTAATTCCATACCAACTTTAGAAAGAATCACCCAATATAACCAAATTTCCACATAATTCAGACATGATTTAAGTGATGTTTATATGTAAATAATGTTTATATGCAAGTCAAAAAAGAAACCTAATGTTCACTTTTCAAATGGGCATCTTTTCTACCTTTTCAATGAACTTCAATAAAGTTTAACACCAGCATTATAAAGATATATAATTATTCTGAATGACCACAGTTCACAGAACCAAAACAAATAAGAGTCCAGTCAATATTTTTCCTCCCGAGTCATTGTAATAGTCACTCTAACTGGATTAATTATTCAGAACTTCACTGGATATGATCACTGGAATAGCTCTTTTCAACGATCTGTAGGGTGATTGTTACTTGCTAAAATTGAAGGGGAAAAAAATAAGCTTTGTTCATGTAGCTAAACAATAATTGCTTTCAGTTATTCTTTCCATTTTTCCAATCATTCTTGAAAGAACATAATCACCTAAATGCTTAAATGACATGGGCATATATATATATATATACACATCCCTCCCCATATAAACACACATAGACACACACACACCCAAGAACACAAAAGAAGAAACACAATCTAAAAGTAGGGGTGTGTATGTCAAGGTAGGAACTAATAACCAAAAGTCTCAAAAACTGCTTTAACAGACCTGGGGAAGACCCCTCTGTCCAAAAGAGTACCAGAGGTACCCTTCTGCCCACATTAGGAACTCTTCCATATCTGAGGAAAAATATCAAGTCTTGTGTCTTTAATACTTTGGAATAAATACATTTCCCCAGATCGTTACCCAGAGCAAATAGTTTTCTCTCTAGTTGTAATGTAAAAGTAATAAGGGCACTGTAAAAAATTCACACAATACAAAACATGTAAAATTAGTAAAAGCCCCCTCCTCCAATTTTTCCTTCCTCAACCCATTCTTTCAAGGTAACAATAACAGCAAGATTTATTAATCAATTTATGCACTAGGTAGACATGATACTTGGAGAAGGAAATGGCAACCCACTCCAGTATCCTTGCCGGGAGAATCCCATGGATGGAGGAGCCTGGTGGGCTGCAGTCCATAGGGTCACAAAGAGTTGGGCACGACTGAGTGACTAATACACACACACAGACATGATACTAAGCATTTTATATGATGCTGCTGCTGCTAAGTCACTTGCAATGCTACAGACTGTATCCTCTGGCATGGATTCTATCCATGGGATTCACTAGGCAAGAATATTGGAGTGGGTTGCCATGCCCTCCTCCAGGGTATCTTCCTGACCCAGGGATTGTACCATCGTCTCTTGTGTACTACATTAGCAGGTAGATTCTTGACCCCTAGCACCAGCTGGGAAGCCCATTCTATACATTTTATGCTATTAACTGTAATGCAGACCTCAGCCCGTACACGTCTACTGACTATAAGCCCTATGTGTCAGTGTGTGCATGCGCGTCTGACAAACACATACGGCTCACATCATACTGTTCTGCCATGCAGTTTCTGTGCCACGTAGTAACATATCCCGGAAACTTTTCTATGCAAAAGTCTATGGAGTTGTCTCACTTTCCTCTCAATGGCTACACAGCATTTCAGTGTACAGACAGAATCTAACCAATCATCTGTAGGCAAAATTTAGCTTTTTTCTAGTGTTTAAGCATTGTAAACAATGTAGTAATAAATTTTCTTATAAATACATCTCTGGACATTCCTTAAATACATTTATCAGATACACTGGTAGGGGTGGAATTGCTGAATCCAAGGAAAACTTATTTAAGTAGCTATGAAAACAAAGGAATTCCTTCCACTCTAGTCACGCCATGAACAAAGTAAATTGTGAAACTGGGACAGGTAAAGAGCATGATTCTCAAAGAACAGTCTGCAGCTGGAAAAGCGTTTCCCAGTGAGAGTAAGCGTTTAACTGAGAGTAAGATACAAATGTGTGTGTTTATAATTTTATTTATTTTTGGCTGTGCTGGGTCTTTTTTGCTGTGTGTGGGATTTCTCCAGTTGCAGTGAGCGGGGACTACTCTCTAGTTGTGGTACAAGTGCTTCTCATTGTTGGGACTTCTCTTGTTGTGGAGCATGGTCTCTAGGGCATGCGGGCTTCAGTGGTGGCGGCACATGGGCTCAGCAGTTGCAGCCCCTGGGGGCTAGCGCTTCAGAAGTTGTGGTTCATGGGCTCAGCTGCCCCGCAGCATGTGGATCTTCCTGGATCAGGGATCAAACCCATGTTCCCTGCGTTGTCAGGCACGTTCTTTACCACTGGGCACCAGGGAAGTGTGTGGGGGTGTGTGTGCTTGAATGAGAGATCTTACTGACAAATGATGCAAAACGCTATTAGTCTTGTTTTTACTTTCCAGGGCTCCTTATCAGTAGCCTACTGAAAGCCTTACTGAAGTCATTTAAAGTTGAGACAGTATATAAAGGCATTTATATGCCCCAAACGAACATCTGAACACAGCTAATGTTTCCTGAGGATTAACTGATTCTGTAGTTCACTAGACCTGGCTGCCACGCAAGGTCTGGTTCAGTGCAAAGCTCTCACTCTGCTTGGGCATTCACAGATAGCTGAAACTCCTACTAATTTCTAAAAGGAGGTTTTAGTACCTTTACAATATCTTGCAGTGGCCATGGGTTTGCACTGATGGTATTCATGCCTTTTAATACAATATACTCTAGTTTAGCTTTATTATTATCAATTTTGTTGGCTGTAGGCTGTCTGGTTAACTCTAGATTGTATATTTACATGTACACTTAAGAGTATTTGGGGCTTGAAAAGTTTCCAAAAATTGGGCTTTAAGATATATATATATATATACATTATGGTTTAAATATTTACTTGCATGCTTCATAGTTTTCATTAAGTTCTTTGTACTCTGAGCTGTTTCATTCCATCTGAATCAACTGTAGCCTGAAGTCCTCTTTGTGAATATCTGTCACTTCCTAGCGCTCTAGCAAAACTCCTTCCTGTGCCCCAGTAGAGGCTGCCTTTGTAGTATGGATGACTATAAGCCACATAACAAAAACACAGAGACTGCATATATTTTACTGTTATCTTGTGAATTTTCCCTGAAGTGTGTTTTGAATAAGTGGAATAAAACTTGAAAAATCCAGAAAAGCAATATATTTTGTTGATTAAAATGGAAAAATAGACCAATAAGCCTTCTCACTGTCTTCTGCTTCACAGTCACTTAGTAGAGAGAAAGTAGTGAAAATCACTTATGTTAATTATCATAACTCAGATAACATGCAAGCCTGTGTGTCTGGATCTATCCTTTGGTGGATCCACAGAGCTAATTTCAAACTACACAGCTCCCACATCAGAAACACAGAGAGAATAATGCAGGACATCTATAAATTGTAGAGGACAATGAGCGTCAGTGATCTCAACTGTCTGCCCATTTATTTCCATATCTCTATGCTGTGTGCAACCTTTGAATAAAAAATAATGAAATATAGTTTATCTAAAGAGAAGCATTTTTAACAATCACAGGTGGTCATAACCTCTCGTTTTTGGGTTTTAATTAAAATAATAAAATTTTAAGAAAGAAAAGAAACAGAAAATATAAAGGTTTTAAAATCTTTAAATACATAAAAATTATATAATTACATCATATTATAAATATACACAATGTGAAATTTAAATGTCAATAAAAATGGTAAAATTTTCAATGCATTCCAGAATGTGGTAAGGATACGCTGACTCTTGGCGGTGATTCTTTTGTGTCATTTGCTAACATTAATGCCAGATTTAACAGTGTTTCCCACACAATGTGGTTGTGAGGAGCTAATGACTGAGAAATGCATTGGGCTCGGATATTTTGTGAGCAGTAAAGACTACAGAAGTATCTGCTATTACTCTCAGCAGCAATGGCATCTCACTGAACCTTGACAACAATTCCCAAGAAGGAGGTACTATTACATCTTCTTTTTATAAACAGAAAAAGAGAAAAAGTAGCTGAGTAATGGTTCTGAGGTTAAGTAGCTACTAAGTTGAATAGCTGGACTCCAATCCCGGTCCGCCTGATTCTACAACCCATATACTTTTACTACTATGTATAAAGCCTGCTGGCTGAAGATTTCTGTACTAGTGATAAATATTTTTAAACTTGTACTTCTCTGTCTAGCCTATTCTAGGGCCCTGTAATTCCATACTTAACAACTTGCCACTAAAACATTTTCAAATGACTCAAAAACTTTAACCATTAGAATCTCAAAATAATATAACCAACAGTATCCCATGAAGTAATATCATCATTATAATCAATAAGTCTTTACAAGACTTGCACATACTATTTTCAATACTGGATAGCATGTAGTACTGTATCAAAGGCACTCATTAACTCTATGTACCTATTTCTTAAGTCATGTGCAATTATAATAAAAGAACTATCTAAATTAGATGAATGAAGTTGAAGAGCTGAGCAATACAATCCCAACTTCCATCACAAAGGTAAGAGAAAGATATCTGAAGGCTTTATAAATAGATGCCCCACCAGTCCCTGTTTATAATCATGCTGCAAGGCAGATTAGGTTCCTGTATGTAAGGGGGAGGCTGAGGGGTAGGAAGTGGAGGGGGGTGGGTCAGGTCTGACTCACAGGTCTTCGGTTCCTGTCAGGTGACAGCAGTGGCATGTGTTGATTAAAGCCACAGGCAAAGGCCATGTTTTGACGTATTTTCTGATGTACAAAGGCATTTTTCCTTCCAGAGAAGAAGTACAACATGCTGAACTACATCCCACTCCTTCCCCAACCCCTAAACACACACATCTGCATGGCAGAGAAGAAAGCTTCTCTTAGGAGAAGGCACATGGCAGAAAAGAAAACTTCTCTTAGGAGAAAACACAAGACTGGTCCTTAAAAGCTGACAAACCACTTCTAGCAAACTGTTCTACATACATCAGTCTAACTTACTGTCATAATCTAAGAAAGACCTAGGAAACAGGTACACTGAGTCACGATCTCCATATCAGAGGGGAGGAAGCAGCATTTTACATGTGTCTGCACTATGTTGAGAACAACACAATTGAGGCAGGAGTGCTTTGAAACAGACTGGAAGGTGGAGACGCTGCACAAGTACTTCCATTATTGCCAACATCACTGTGATGAAAATACCGTCACATCATGGATTCATATTTCTCTTGACCTGAGCATAGTCCCGGACACACTCACTGCCTACCCCTTCCACACAGTCAGGAGGGACAGAATTATCTGCTGAACCGAATGTGAGCCCACACTTACTTATTTCTCAGGGAAGAAGTCAGTCAGTGTATTTAAGTTCTACTGATAATTCAGGAAGATAAAGACAAAGCTGCAATGATAACCAGATAAAAAAACTTGTCAATTAACACACAACATGGGCTTCCCTCATAGCTCAGTCAGTAAAGAATCTGCCTGCAATGCAGGAGACCCAAGTTCAACTCCTGGGTCGGGAAGATCTCCTGGAGAAGGAAATGGCAACCCACTCCAGTATTCTTGCCTGGAGAATCCCATGGACAGAGGAGCCTGACAGGCTATACAGTCCATGGGATCGCAAGAGTCAGACACAACTTAGCAACTTGACTACTACTACTACGGTTAGAGAAAACTTGAGCAAACAGCATGACTCCAGGAAAGAGGAGTGCTGTCCATAACTACTACGTTCAATATTTGTTAATCTGGCTGTTGACTAATTTATAGATAATGTTAACTTACTATCTACATATATTTTACTGAACAAAGTTATGATGAGTATGCATATTTAATATAATATACAAGTAATCTAATAAACGGGCTTCCCAGGTGGCTCAGTGGTAAACAATCTGTTTGCTAAGCAAGAGATGCTGGTTCAATTCTTAGGTTGGGAAAATCCCCTGGAGAAGGAAATGGCAACTCTCTCTAGTATGCTTGCCTGGGAAATCCCATGGACAGAGAAGCTTGGTGTGCTGCAGTCCATGTGGTCACAAAGAGCTGGAGATGACTGAGACTTAACAACAACAATGTAATAAACAATGTACAAGGTGTAATTAGCTAATTTTAAGCTCTTTAAAAATAGACATCATAGTGACTGTAGAGTGCTCTAAACACTGAACATGCGAGATTTTAGTAAACACTAATGGTTCAGCAAATTTGGAGGTAACATTTCAATTCCTCTCTAGGTATAATCTTTCTTTAGAGTACCCAATGAACAATAATCACAGACTCTTCTGACATTTTCTAAATAACTTGAGAAACATAACTTCAACAGAAGTCAGTGATTCTGAAATTCACTCCTGCAAAAGGGCCGGTGGTTTTCAGTGCCTCCAGATACCAGCTATTAATAGACAGACAGCTGAGAGCCAAGACGGGCGGGAGGGCTGCTCCACGCACAGAATCCTTGTTCTTACTTTCTCCCCTCTCATTACACAGAAATTGCTGCATATTCACAGGATCCGTCTTTGGTCCTCTCTAGTCCTTATTTGGGCATTTCTCCCATTCTCCATGGGTCCCTTTGTCTGTATCTCTTCCCAAGAGCCATCCCAAGTTAACTTCCCCTTTTCCTGCCTTATCAAAACTCCCACTCACTCAGGGAGCTTAGTTTAGCCAGTGTTTGTATAATTTACTATAAGGTTGGCAAAACCGTTAAACAGCAAAATTCCCAGCAGATTAAACTAAATTCAGTCCTAGGAACAGGTGAGGAACGTATATAGACTAAAACAATTCATGCTAAATTATCAATAACTAATAGTTCCTTCCCAGGTAAACTCTACATTAATAAAAAGGATGCTTTTTAATTTATATGACTTGTTACTTATGTAATACATGCAGTATGACAAAACTCAGTGTGAAGAAGGGATTTAAAATGCATACATAATGTGTTTTTCCTGGAATCAACACATACTTCCTAATGGATTTAATAATTCTTGTAACCTATGCCTAATTCCACTGGCAAGTGACTTGTGTAACGATACAGGACCCAAGGTTAAAAGGGTCCCATGCTTGGTTTAATGTTATTCTGGTTGCCGCTACAATTCTTAAAACAATTTTTGAACAAGAGACCCAATTTGTTCGTTTTGCATGGGCCCAGCAAATTATGTAGCTGGTCCTGATGAAATCTGGGCCAGTTTATCCATAGACTTACAGTTATTTAATCCATGAACAAAAATTCAGGATAATATCAGGAAAGATCAAGCAACTTGAAAAAAAAAAAAAAGAAATTAAATCAAAAAGTAGAAAAGCTATATAATCAATAAATCAACCCAAAAGCCAGATCTTTAAATAATTAATAACAGACAAATCACTAGCCCATTTAACACTAGAAAAAAATTGAGAGGCACAAATATTCAATATTAAAATACAGAGAAGTAACTAACATGACTTACTGACTAAACAAGAGGAATTTAAGAGACAAACTTTATAAATATTTTGCACAAATCTAAGCAAATTAAATTTGTAAACATGGATGAAATTATTTTTTTGGAAACTGAAAATGATTATAGCTATATTTATTATTTGATAGAATTTATAAAATTATAGAAGAGAGAGCCAAGGTAGACAGACCATAAAATAAATGTGGGAAGGTATCAAATAGTTAACCATCAAGTGCCATGTGTTTTCCCAGGTGAACTATAGGATCTTCAAAAGATTAATAATTCTGCTGCTTTTTCAAAGGAGAGGAAAATGAAGAGTCCAAGTTCTTTTTATGAGGCCAGCATAATAACAAGTCAAGTACAATCTGAGGAAGACCACACTCTTTCCCTCCCCACATTCCACCCAATAAAATCAGTCTTACTGGTAATCACTGATGTAAAAATTCTAAATAAAATATTAAATTCAGGATTATATTAAAAAAATAAAGCAAGCACTACTCAATATTAAGAAATATATGAGAGAATTCACTACATTAACACAATAAAGGAGAGACAATATGACCTATATAGAAACTGAAACACATTTGAAAATATTCCCTATTCCTTGTTGATAAATGCTTTTTCATAAAAAATAAAACTGAAGTTAGTATCCTGATAAACAATCATGTATTGGGAGGCATTTTTAAGATAAAGATGTTTAATGTCATTAGAACAAGCCAATATTTTAAAAGAATGAAAGAAAAGCACAAATAATCGAAAAGAGAAAGCAAAATTATTATTTGCAGGTGATATGAAGATGTTTCTTCATGGAGAATGCAAGAAAAATCACTAAGAAAGCATTAGCAATTAGAAAATTTGGTAAATAACTAATTATGAATTTAACAGGAAAAAAATCAATAGCTTTCCAATAAATCAACAATAACCTGCAAAAGACATAGCAAAAAAAATTCCTACAAATAATATTGATAACTCCCCAGAAGATAACACCTAGAGGAAAAAAAGAAGCCTGGAGAGCCAGCAGGGAGCTGGCACACTCAACGACCATGGAAGGATGTGGGTGAGTGAGGACATCCCTCTCTGGGGCAGAACGGTTTCATATGGTAAAGATTCAATTCTACCTAAAAATAATCTACAAACTCAATGCAATTCTGGCTTAAGTACTAACATGGTATTTTAGATTCTAAATCTAGATGATCTGGACCAAATGATTCTAAAGCTTACAAGGAGAAACAAGAGCAGTCTCTGGGGCCAGACTGCTTGATTCTAATCACAGCTTCCCCTCTTATTGGCCGTGTTGCCTTGGGCACATTACTCAATCTTCTTATGACTCAGTTTCCTCATCTCTAAGAAGGGAATGATGATAGCATGTCCCTAAGAGAGTTGACATAATGAGATAAAAAATTATATAAGCAAAAACTTCATACAGTACTGCACATAAGTGCTCAACACATGATGTTAGTATTATTATTTTCTGGGAAATAAACAAAAATATCCAGGAAAATTCATTAAACTAATAGCTACAGTGATAGTGAGGCTTTCCAGGTGGCACAGGGGTAAAGAATCTGCTTGCCAACATAAGGAGATACCAGAGACACAGGTTCAACCCCTGGGTCAGGAAATGGCAACCCACTCTAGTATTCTTGCCTGGGAAATCCCATGGACAGAGGAGCCTGGCCTGGCAGGGTACAGTCCATGGGATTGCAAGGAGTCATACATGACTGAGCACACGTGTGCACACGCACACACACACACACACACACACACAATGATGGTGGTGAGGCAGGAGATATTTGGGTCCCAGGCTGAGCAAATGGAGTTTACCCCCTAAACTCCATAATGGAAGGATAACAGAAGGATAAATGGAAGGATAATCTGAGTCCTGCTCAGATATAAGACAGAGACCACATATTTCTCATTCTTGAAGTCAAGGAGACCTTCCCAACTAGAAAGCTCCTTTGAGGTCAAAAGGGGAGTGATGTCAGTCTACCCATAGCCTCTTTGCTGGAATTCATCTTGGCTGAGAGATGCATGCAAACACATGAGAGGACCCTGAGATAAACCAAACACTGACTCAGACCCAGGTAAGTCAAAATGACTAGCCAAAGGAAATGGGAAGAAAGGGCCCATATAAGTGATTTAAACTAGCACACAAGGGTGTGACTCTCAGAGTCTGCCCATGTGTCTATCTACATATACTCTTTCTCCTCTAAAAAATACTTTACTTGTTTAACTACCTTCTGTTCTTGTAAGAATTCTCTACAAAGTAGAAGAGCCAGGGTCTTGTCACTGATCACTAGTCTAGTGACTGGGATTCAGCACTCTCATTTCCATGGCCCAACCTCAATCTCCGGCCAGGAACCAAAACCCTGTTTCAAGCTGCTGCAGGACGAGGCCACTAGAGATCAGTGGTAGGAGAACATGGATGGGCTGTACCAGACAGGAAAGGAATCTCGAAGCCACAGAAATGGAAAGATTTACACCAGCTCAGGGATAGGCAAATGATCAATGGACCTCACAGAATCCAGAAACAGATCCCCAAACATATGGTGGTCTTGCTCATCAGATTCCCACCTCACAACTTTAACCAAAATGAAATCTGCATGAGTCAAAGATTTTAATCAACAACAATTAAACCATAAAAGTAACAGAAGAAAGCACAGGCAAATCCTTTTACAGACTCAGAATAAGGAAGGCTGTTATTAAACAGACTCACAGAACGAACTTATGGTTGCTGGGGGAAGGATGGGAGGAAGGGATAGATAGGGAGATTGGGATGGACAGAAACACACTACTGTATTTAAAATTAATAACCAACAAGGACCTACTTTGTAGCACAGGGAACTCTGCTGAATGTTATGTGGCAGCCTGGATGGGAGGGGGCTTTAGGGGAGAATGGATACATGTACGTGTACAGCTGAGTCCCTTTGCTATCCACCTGAAACTGTCACAATATTGTTAACTGGCTACAACCCAATACAAAATAGTTTTTTTTTTTTTAAAGAAAGGCTGTCATAAACATAACACAAAATCCATGATTATACATAGAAAAGTTAAAGTCAAAAGACAACAAACTGAAAAATATGTGCATTACATGCTACCAAAGGTTGATTTCTTTATTACACAATTCTTAAAAACCTATGAGAAAATGATGACCAACCAATAAGAATATGCAAAGTAAATTCACACACAACAGCATGAGTGGCCAATAAACATGTACCAACACTCAACTTTGCCAACTGAAGACGTGCGTGCGTGCGTACTCAGTCATGTCTGACTCTTCGTGACCTCATGAACTGTAGCCCACCAGGCTCCTCTGTCCATAGAATTCTCCAAGCAAGAATACTGAAGTGGGTAGCTCTTCAGTGGTAGAACATTTCCTTCGCCAGGGGATGTTCCCGACCCAAGGACTGAACCTGGGTCTCCTGCATTGCAGGAGGATGCTTTGCTGTCTGAGCCACCAGGGACGCCCATCAATTAAAGCCGCATTTATGTTGTTAACGTATCATTACTTCTATACATAACTTCAAGTCTCCTGCCTTTCTCTGACTTCAAAGCCCCTGTTTTCATTAAATCTCACTTTTCTAGACTCTATACCTCAGTTCTGCTTTCCTGCAAAAAACCTCCTGAAAACGCTGCCTATACTTGTCTCTGATGTCTCTTTCTATTTGCTTTTATCTTGTCAGGACTGTGAAGGATGCTTACACTGTTAAATCTAATGACAATCAGGCCTCATGTTACATGACCAAGTAGCAGCATTTGACATAATCCATCACTCTCTCCCTCTTCAAAGCAATTTCTTCTTTCTACTCTCTCAGTTCTCCTAATACACCACTGCTTTTCAGTTTCTTCCCTCCATCTCCCAGCCTCCATCTGTCTTATGGCTCTAAACCCGCTTTAATACCCGAGTTCCAGTCTCTCCTCTGAACTCCAGACTTGCACAGCCACTGCCTACTTGATGTCTCCACTTGGATGTCCAACGGCAGACCTGCCATACCCCAGGTCCAACTCTTGGGCCTCCCCTGGTCCTCTCCATTGCAGTCAATGGCAACTCTATTCTTCCAGGTGCTCGGGTCAGAATTCTTCATGTCAGCTTTGACTCCTAATTTTCTCTCATATTCCATATTTAACCCAGAGGGAATGTATCTTAAAATACCTTCAGCATCTGACCACTCACTCCCCAGCCCCCCCACCCCGCCACCACCACTCTCTCCAGAATGTTGTAACAGGCTCCCATTAGGCCTTCTTCGTTCCTCCTCTGCCTTCTGGCAGTCAGTTGTCAGTACAGCATCCAAACAACGCTCTGCAGCATCAGAGGAACCCTGTCACCCTTCTCTCAAACCATGTCATGACTTGCCACCATATCCTCTATAATTCAGAGGCCCTTCCGGAGCTGTGCCCGTCCCCTGCCACCTCCCAGACGTCACCTTTGCCTTCACGCCTGCTCCCTGCACTCCAGAGGCACTGCTCAAGGTGTCTGCAGTCATGCCGCTCCACCTGGAATGCTCTTCCTGCATGGTTCAGCTTCATCTCCTCAGAGAGGCCTTCCCTGGCTGCGCTGTTTACATTTAAAGACCTACCCCAACACAAAAACACACCCCTCTTCCTGTGATTTCTTCCTTTTTAAAATGCTTATTGCCAACTGCCATAATATTTTAATAAAATTCTCTTCTCAGTGGGAGTGATGGGAATGTAAAATCCACAGGGGCAAGATCTTTTTCTGTTCTGTTCACTGCTGTGCCTCCCTCTAACAACAAACTGTTCATTAACTCCTGGTGTGCGCAGAGGCTAAGGAAACAAGTGCATGCTTACATGTTTTGTGAATTTGACAGTGTTTACCA